TAGTTCTCTCTTTCCCCTATATCAAATTTTCATGCCATTTGAATGATTTTTCGCAGTTCTATGAACATTTGAATTTAGGCCTTTTCTTTGCAGATTTAAAAATTTTCGAAAACTTTTGACCGGTAGTGTACATATATACACACGCAAGCAGAAGTCAATGCTAAGCTGCATGACAGAAGAGTAAACAGAACACATATATAAAGCACAATAAAATATAAAAAGCAGAACAATATTGAATTAAAAGATACAGAACACAAAATTCCAAGTTGCTTATGTTATAAATGGAAGAAAAATATTTAAAGAAATTGTGAACTTAATTTTTTAGATAATGAGCTTTCCATTTCTCAATTATATAAACATTGCCCTGATAACTATAAAACAATTATTAAAAAAAAATTCTTGCTTTAAATAAATTATGTCAAATTAAAAACATTAAAGTACCTAATATTACTATCACCTTAGAGTATCATACAACACTTATTAAATTTCACTTTATAACTTGTGGTATTAATATATATATATATATATGAATGCATGAGGAACAATTGTTTAACACTTAAACCTTTTATTTAATCATATATATGATTCAGGTTTTATGTGGATTATTAAAAATAGCAAAGCAGTTATTAATTTAATTAATAATAACTTTATTACACACTTTGAAACTTGTGACTTTAAAAATCTTTTTAGCTAAATACCCCTTGACAAACTTAAATACACTATTTCCTCAAACTTTTAGAATTTTAGTAATATTTTTGATATTGATTGGCCAAATATATTATTAATTTCTGCATTTTCTATAATTTTTTTTCTTTTATATATACATAGTGAAGGTGTCTTTCGGAAAATTGCTGTCATACCTCAAAGCACTAATTTTCAAAGTTCACAAAAACGCAGGTTTTTAAGGTAAAAAACCCACCCTACATGGGTTTTTTCATGAAAAGAATGCAATTTTGACCAGAAATAAGTGGGGTTCTTTTCATGAAAAGACGCAATTTTGCCTGAAGATAAGTATATTCTTCATCAAGTATATTCTATGTGCATATGGGTAATATTAAATATAAAAAAAAGATAAATTACATAATAAAAAAATGTAGATTGATTGTTAACAAAGGGATTAATAAAAGGAATGGTTATTAGAATAACTATTTCAGTCATTTTTATGCCATTTAAATGTAAAATGAATTGCATAATGTAAAATGAAATGATTCTTTGTAAAATGTTGGTTATGTGATTAGTTTAAAATTATAAAAAGAACATGTAATTGACTTTAAAGCTAATGAATAGAATTATAAGATTCATTAATGCTAAATATAATAAATTTTTGGTACTTGTTAAAATGTAAAACGTAATGTTAAAATATAAACTTAATCCCAAGCGCTTAACTAATAAGTAATAAACTTAATCTCAAGTGTCAACAATTTCATGAAACTAGAAACATAAAATATCAGAAAGTCTCTCTTTATTTCCTATTATTGAAATATTTTAACGTAACAAACTATTCACTCCCTATGCGATTTCACAGTTTGAACTGAACTAATCTTAAAATCAAAAAATATTCATTCTAGTCCAGTTGTCATAAGATAAGTAGTGAATAATTGAATATTTAAGTCATAGGTTTTCTCTTTCAGCTGATATTCTGAATTCTGGCTTTTTGCCTGGTGTACGATATTCTACGCTTAATCTTTAAATGAAGATTTTTCTTGTAAAAGGTACAATAGATGAAGACCCGTTGCAGCATATAATAGAAATCTTAATACTCAATACAGAGTTATTATTTTTTTTTTAACTGAAAACTATACATACATTATACATTACTATTTTCCATCGTTTTTTCCATTATATACTCTGAGCAGTGAATCAATGGAAATAAGAAAGCCAAAATCTAAATATTCAATTGGTACTTTCTATCTCTATACTTTCAAAACTTTTTACTTAATAAGAGCAGTTTTCCTTTTTTACATTTTTAATAAAAGAAAATGTTAGTCAAAACATAACAAAACATAAAATGTCTACATAATTTTTTAGGGTGATAACCTCAATAATTAAAAAGTTATCACTCCAAAGAATTCATAGTTTTGAAATTTAAAATAGTACAGTATTTTTAAGTGTCAATGAAAATTCCGCTTTTAACAGTATTTACCAAGTTTTTGGAAACTACTTACAAATATTTTTATTTGTTGTTATTTGAGATTTGTCTAATGTTAATACAAAAACAATAAATGACACAATCCAAAATATTTTTAAAAAGAAGTCATTGTGCAATACCCAACATTATCTAATATTAAAACTTGATCTCTGAAATAAAAATGCATGATATAACTATACATTATATTTTCCATTTAATGCTCATAAAACTTGATTGAAACTAACTTTCATTACATTGCAAAAGTTAATAAAAAAATTACCATAACTATTCGAGTTGGATCCATGGCTAATCGATTAACGCTTGCTTTTTCATGTTCTCTTTCATTTATACCATTTCTGATCACAATCTAAAGAAAAATTTTAAATAACAAAAATTCAAAGCTTGAAAAGACATGAGACATACTTAAAATTAAATTTTAACACCACTAAATAATTAGTAATTAAAAATGTAATGGTAATAAAAATATTTATTAGTATCTAAATGTGTTAATCATAAAAATGCAATAAGATTTAATTTTTACTTTAAGAGCTGTACCTCCTCTTATGATACTAGGAAACAATTTTAACAAATATAAAATACAAACAAATTCAGTTTTTGAACTACTCACTCTAAACTCGTTCGTTCCTCAAACAAAAAAAAGTAGCTTTTATCTAACTCATTAGAGAACATAACTTTGCAAGGAAACTTCAATCAAAAAGTTAAGTATTGTAGCTTAGTGAATGACCTCATTACTAACTCAATTTTTTAAAACATGGAATAAATAAGCAATCGAAAAAGAGTTCCTTTTTTTTAACTGTGTACCTTGTCGAATTTGAGGTACGGATACAATAAGATTTAATCGGTTTTATTACACAACTTCCAGGATCCACAATGTTTAAACTAGTTCCAGGGACATAACTTGATTATTACTTCAAAAATATGCAGATGGAAATAAAAGTCTATTATGTTTTAAACACTCAAAAATAGGCACCCATTTTTAAGACTTGCCAGATGTGTGACCTCAATAGCAAACTTCTGCAATGTGTTTGCAGGTGTTAGCTTAGAAAGTTTGAGATAAATAAAGTTCACCAGATTATGGGGATCTTTGCTATTTAACAAAATGCAAAAAGTGTTAAGTGTTGTCCTAGAACTTATCATATCAACTTTTCTAACAGCTGAGTCTTACTAATACAAGAAATAGCAGAAACTCCAACTTCTGGTCTGATTTTTCAGAAGTAACCATGAAAATGTTCAGTAAATTTCCAGCTCTTTCAGTAATATTACTACAAAAAGTATATTCACAAATTTAAGACATTATGAAATAATTAGTGATAAAAATTAGCAATTTTTATGCCTTTTGAAAATTTTGAGTGTCATAATACTTTGTTTAAAATATATTTATATATATATATATATAATTTTTTAAAAAAACTAGGTGGAAATAGACAATAACTCAATAAATAACTGTAACAACAGCCTAAAAATGATCGGAAACTGATGTGGATTCACGATGGAATAATGTAATTGCTCTTTGAAATTAGCCCATGTAATAACACTGTATAAAAAATATTGAAACTTGAAAGATGATGTGAAAATGGCTGAAAAAAGATCTGTAAACGACATTGAGTCCCAATGAGATCGAGAATCCAGTGCGTCAAAAGAGATTATTCAAATACGAAATTCACAACCAAAATAACATACTAAAAATTTCTGAAATTTGAAAAACTACATGGAAATGAACTAAAATTGCTGGGGAAATATTTTGAATTTATGATGGAATCATTGCAAATCAGACATGCCAAAAAGTGATAATTTAAATTTGAGTATAAAAATATTAATGTATTAAAAATACTGGATGAGAAAAAGTCTGACAGAATGAACAGAAAATGACCAAGACATACGATGGAATCATCACTTCAAAAGTGATAACTTATTTCGTAAATCACATATGAAGATTCTATAAATCTTGGAGAAACAGCTAAAAATGTGATAAATAGCTGTCAATGAACGATAAAACAAAAAAATACAGATTACAATGGAATAACCTTGAACTAGGCATGTCAAAAAGTAATAACCTATATTCGAAAATTATGTTTCGTAGTACATTTGAATTTGAAAAACCGAACAAAATGAATTAAAAAAAGGAGAAACAGCCACAGAAAAAAACTAGCAAAATCATACATTTCCATGAAATGGGTTATAATTCCCATAGCCCATAGTAACAAAGAAATAGCATGGAAATTATGGAAAATCCATAGTACCTGGAATCACTGCATTAGTGATGTATTATTAAAACAATAAATTAAATCTTATAATCAAACTCTAACACTTTTACTTTGAAACTCCAAAATCATTAAGAAAAAGAAAAATTAAAACTCTCCTGCATCTGCCAATATGTCATCCAATTTCAATGAGGTAGTAAAGATCAAGGATCCATAATTTTGCCATGCAAACAAACCACTTTTACTTCCCAAGCAAAACTAGTACTCATCAATCTGAAGAGAGGTTTCAAGCGACCACTGGGGATAGAAACTCAGTTCTTCACAATAACAGCTCAGTATCATAAGCACTGTGTCATTATTATTATTATTTCATTACTTGTAAAACTTATAATTCTTTTTTCTGGAAATATTTCAGCTTACGACTAATACAAACAAAAACTAAACTGTTTAATTTTTAAGAAATAACTTTTAAAAGAATATTGATTCATGGATCAACAAAGTTTTACTTAACAAAATGCATTATCAAATATGTCAACCAATTACAGCAATACATTTCAGAATGCTTTGTTTTAAATATCTTAACCAGCGTCAAATCATTAAGAAAGAGAAAGAAAAATTAAAACACTCCTGCATCTGCCAATATGTCATCCAATGAGGTAGTGAAGATCAAGATAGATTCTAACTACTTTCAGAAAAAAAAGAGAGAAAAAAAAATTGGTAGTTATTACTGATATCAATGGAGTTACATAATGCCATGTGATCAATGCATGACAGTCAGAGACATACTTGGATTCTTTTCATAGAGTGAAAATACTCCTTGACTTTCTTTTGAATAGTGAAATTCATTTTAGAGGAGTGAAAAAAATTACATTTTAAATTACAGAGGCTGACTTTAAAAAAAAAATAGCCTATAAGACATTTTTTGCATTAAAAATGAAATAAAAAATTTAAATAAAATATATCAATTTCATTACAATTTTAATAGATTTCTTTTGCATTTCCCATGATTTTACAGCATTATCAAATTTGAAATCAAAAACATTTCCATTTTGTATTTCAAATTTAGGTCTTTGCTGTTCAAAATATTATTTCTAACTGTCTATTTCTAACTGTCTAAATATTATTTCTAACAGTCAATTTCTTTTTTAAAAAATTTCATCATGTTTATGATTAAAAACTCTCTTTCACATTCAGTTGTTTACAAAGGTATTGCTATTGCTGTAGCAGAGTTTGGATGTAATTGAAAACAGATAAAAAAAACACCAGACATTCCAACCAGATATGCCACACATACCAAAATTTGAAATTTTAAATCATAAATGAGCAAAATTACGGTAATATAAATTAGTTAATATTTTCTTAATCTAATATTTTTAAAGTAGAGTCTCAAAATCCTCAAAACCTCATTTAAAAATTCCATGATATGACTGCATTTTTGTTTAACGATTATTTTTAAAATCACACCAACGAGACGAGTTAATAACAGTAAAACTACAAAAGTCCACCATACAAGATTTGTTACAACATTTTCTTAAAATAATAAATAAGCCCAGGACCCCTGAATTCATCACCATAAAAACTTCCTAATATAAAATTATTAATTGAGTTTTTTTTGCTTAGAATAAATTAATTCTCACAAAGTGAAACAATGAAACTGTAAGTAAAGTTAAATGCCTGAACTATGTATACAATTAGAAGCCAGTCCCTAAATGAGAGCTACAAAGTTTTTCAATTTCTACTAGCATTATTAATTTAAATAAAAAGATATTCCATTAAAATTCCTAATACAGTAGAGAACCAATTATCCGGGATGCTCGAGTGCATCGCTATCCCGGATGTCTGAATTTCTCGGTTTTCTGGATCGACCAAAAAGTGTCATTAATCAATGTTTTATCGAACCCGAATTACAAGGAAAAAGTGCAACACATTTTTAAGTAAGAGAAAAAAGAAAAGCATTCCTAAATTTAAAAATAAAAAAAATGGTAGAAAAATAACATTTAAAAGAATAAAAAAAATTACAAGTTTAGACAAGAAAAACAAGTTTAAAAAATACAAAATTCTCATACTTACTTTTTAAATATAATTACAATTCCCAAATTAACTAATATAAACAAAACCAATGATTAAATAACGCAATATATTTCATACCTAATTATACAGGGGAGAAAACGATAAAATAAAAGTAAAACTTATTAATCAAAATAAAAACAACGAAAACCGAAACGATAGTAAAATTTAGGCACTAACCTAAATATTAAAACCACGAACAAGGCAAGATCAATAAGATCAACGGAATTAAAAAAAGAAGAAAAAAAAACCTAATGATAAAATTTATGAATTAATTAATTGAAATTAATTAAATTATTGAATGCTAAAAGAATTAATTTATTGAATGCTAAATTTATCATGAAAAGAAAAAAAAATCAAACGCAGTGGAATCAGAAAAACAAAACTGCAATCTGCTTCATAAAATAATCGTATGTTTAAATTAATAAACAATCCTCCTTTCCTCCTCCCAAAAAAACGATTTTTAACGAAAGCAGTTGTGATTCCACATCAAGAAAAACTTGCAAACGATTCCGCACTTCTAAAGAATTAGAATTTATTCAAAAGAAAAATATTTTATTTTTATTAATTAATTTGTTAATCAATGTCAAATAGATAAATATATTTTTCTCTTTAATCTTCTGTTCACTGATATGCACGTGTAAAGCAATTTCCCCACCCCCTCGAAAAATAAAAGAGAAAACAAAATCAGCATGCCACTTCTTTGAGTTTGATTGACGGCCTAAAGGAGAAAATAATACATTCTTCCCTTCCCTGCCTCCTCTCGATCTGAACATCTTAAAGGTCACAGAAGAAATGACGTTTCGCTGGGAAAACGGGGAAAAAATTCTCCCCTTCCTCACATTTTCCTCTACTCAACTTCAATGACGAGTCCAATTTCCGCTTTTTTTCGTAATCGTTCCAGTTTAAAATGGCGGGACAAAAGAGCAAAATGTTTCCCGGTTATCTGGATATCGGATAAATGGTTCTCTACTGTATTTCGATTCTTCAAATCTATTTTTTATAAATCTGCATTTGTATTCTTAGAAAATAGGATGTTCTGAACACAGTCAAAAACTAGAACTCTGGAATAAGCAAGCATAAATTTTAGAAGTTCATTCCATCAAAATAAAGACTAACTGAAATCAGTATCATTGGGCATGAGACTGTTGCTCGAAACAAATTATAATTGTGAAACTATACAAGCCCACCATACCAGATTTGTTACTGCATTTGCTAAAAATAATAAATAAGTACAGAACCCCTGATTTCATAATCAAAAAAAAAAAATTATATAAAATTTTTAATTGAGTTTTTTTCCCTTAGAATGAATGAATTCCTAAAAAAGTTTAAATAATGACACTGTGGATAAAGTTATATGCCTGAACTAAACATACAATTAGAGATAAGTCTCTAAATAGAAGCAATCGAATTTTGCAATTTGTACTAACATTATTAATTAAAATGAAAAGTTGTTGGATTAAAAATTCAAATATTTTGATTCTTCATTCTGTTTTTTTAAAAATCAGCAAATATATTCTTTAAAAATGGGATGTTCTGAACTCAGCCAAAAACCAGGAATATCAGGACAACTACCAACCCTGGAATAGGCAAAGCACGTTTTTAGAAGTTCGCTCCATCAAAATAAACTGCAATTAGTATCATTTGACATAATGCTATTGCTCAAACCAAACTAGTGATTTTCAAAATTTACTATAACAATAATCAAGCAATTTTCTCAAATACTTATCCTTTAAAAGGAGCTGCAAAAATATATTTACCCAGTATCAATATTAAAACTGGACTGTATTGATGCAGTTTCAAAAGGCACCATGTTAACTAACATAATGTTTTGTACTTCAATTAGCACAATTAATTTTTTTATTTAAATTTTTACCTAATAGTACAATAAAAGAAGCATCGTTAGTGATAATAATTTGGCGATTTTTAACGTTTTTCCAAAACAAATTTATGCCATTTCTCCATTAATTTTGTATTATTGTGCAATACCTTTTTTAAATTCAATTTCTACTGATTTTTAATTATTTAGTTTTACAGAAACATATTTTAAAAGCATAACTATAAACAAAATAAACATGTAGTTTCAGAAAACTTTAGAAATGCTAATTTGTTGATGAAGTTTGGTACCATGTTAACGATGTTGAGTTTCTTCGATAAAACAAATAAATAATAATTAAACAATAAAGAACATGCAATAAACTCCTTTTTTAATGAAATAGAGTTACAAAAGGGCAAACATTGCTGATATGATCTTTAAAATAATTTAACAGAATCATCTGCATTTTAATTTACATCAATGGCACAAGCTCAAAGCAAATGAAAAAATCCCATTTTTCATTCCACATTTCCAAGCTTCTCCCAAATAATCTAATTGAAATTTTTTAACAATTTTTAGGAAAAGGGGCTGAAATTGTTCCTTCCCTGCTTTTGAAATTGCTTGCTGGCGCCAATGATTCTGGAGTTATAAGACAGACACACAAATTCTTCATTTAATTTTATTGATTATCAGTTATGCAGCAGCCTGAAGAAGTCATTTAATTATTTTTAATTCTACCTTCAAAGTATAATCAATAAAACATACAAAAATAAATTTATACTTTTTTTTAAAAAAAAAATGCAATGAAATATGTTCATAAAAACATAGAAATATCTGTCAAATGTGAAGTTTTTTGACAGGTAAGAAAAAAATTTAATATCCTTCCAACATGTTTATTTTTACTCAGTTAAAAATATGCTTTGCCCACAATTTTTTTCATTGATTTTATTGGTCCATGAATAAAAATCTATTTTAAACAACATCTTATTTTTAAAAATATCTTATATTTAAAACAATATATTTAAACATCTTATACATACAAACATCTCATATTTAAAACAACATCTTATTTCTTAAAAATATTGATTAATAATATGCTGGCACATGACATACTGAAACTAAATACATATTATGTTTAAAAAAATATTAAAATAAAAAATTATGATTCAATTTAAATAAAAAAAAATTTATATAAATTTGGTAAATTTAAATAATAATAAATGAATAAAAAAACACTAGATTTTAATGTCACAATAGAAAATCTAAATATAGTAAAAAATAATTCAAAAAATGTAAGAGATATAAGGTAAAAGTACCTTAACTTATAAGTTTTTGAATAAAGGTAAATGTACTCAGTGGCTCCCATCCCCCTCTACAAGCTCTTGGGTGCATTCATCCCCCCCCCCAAAAAAAAATTTGCTAACTTCCCCCTTCCATGTTAGCTTGTTCGAAATAGTGCGACTTTACTTGCATTGCCAGTTGCTTCTTTTATTTATGTACTTAAAAAAAAATTCTCATCTAAATTCCCCCCAAAAAAGGCTCATTTTGCGCCCACCTTCCCACCCTGATGGGGGCCCCTGAATGTACTTGATATTAAAAATTTGAGTAAAAAAGTTATCAATATACTATGATTACAACATTACTAAATTAAATACAAGTAGTTTTTGTACCTTTTTTGGCTTTCTGATTTGAGGGACCATATCTTTAAAAAAGTCTTCCTGACTATTTTCATCTGTTTGAATAGTATCTTCATTAGAGTCCACACTTGGAGCAGGTGGATTTAAATTTTTTTGCTTATTATCATAAGACCAAGTTTCCCACTGATAATTATAGCTTTGGTTTTCAAATAGAGCATCCTATGAAGAAATACATATAATTAATAAAGGCACAAAATCCTTTTTTTTTTTTTGTATTATTAGTAGTCTATATAGTTTATATGATATTAGTAGCATTGTTTCTAATAAAAAATACCAAAAATTACATTATATTTTATCATGTAATCAATAGATTTTATTTTTAAACAAACTATAAAACTGTCAGGAAAGAATCAATGAAACTACTTACTCTGATTTGTTCAGTTTCAGTTACATGTTCTATGGTCATAGGCAAAACATATTCTGTATCTTTTTTACGTCTACAGCAAATTAATTTCCTCAAAGATCTTACAATACTTAATAAAAAGTGTCCAATTCTGAACAAAATGGTCTTCAGTGTATTCATTTTGAAATCTATCAAATAACAGAAATTAAACATGCATCAATCACAAAACAAAAATATAACACATAAAAAAACACAGAACTGTTGAGAGATCTTATGTAAATAACATGAAATTTTTAATAACTTATTTTCTGATATCAAATCTTATTAAAACTGTCAAAACCTAGGATAAGTGTCATGAAATCATAGCGCATGAAATTTATTTTTACAGTATATTTAAAGCATAAAATTACTAGGTGAGTCATTGATTGCCTGATATAAATAAGAGAACTGTTTCATATAGATTATGCATCTATTAAATAAAATAAAAAAATATTGTTTTTATGTTGAAAAATAATATGGATGCAGTATACGAAGAAAATTAGAAACAGCTCAGGAAAGAATTAGATGCAAATTTGAACTTCCTTATAGAAGTTTCTCAAATTAATACCCTTAACTCTATGACAACAATGTAAAGTGGAAGTGGGCAAACGTGAGAGAAAAAATTGTCGAACGTAATTTAAACGCCTAACAAAATATATAAATATAATTTAATATATAAAAATATAATTAACAATAAATATGTCTTAAAATAGAAATTATAGTTTTGAGCAGAAGAAAAATTTTCACTAGAAAAATTGAAAACTCAAATGCACTTTAGTAACCTTTAAATAATGCCGACAAAAACTTTATATAGTATTACTATTTTTATATTTACATTATTAGAAGGGATTTAGATATTTTATTCCTATAATTTGTCAAAAAAACATTTTTCTAATTTTAAAAAATTTTTATTAGTAAGATTTCTGTATTGGTACCTGCTCAAAAATAATCATCAAGTTTTAATAACTTCCAGGCAGTGTCACACGTAACTAAAAAAAATAATAAAAACAGAGAGGACTAACTCGATATGTATAACTCGTAGCCACTCCTGGACAAACTACAACATATACTTTTCTCCTTTATTTTAGAAAATTTAAAAACATTTTGGCACTTTATTTATAGTAGTTGGCACAAACAGATACTAATATAGTAACATTCCCATCTTAAAATCCAAATTATAACATTAGATTAATTTATAGACAGATTAAATTATAAATTGTTACACACATAAAAACATAAATGGGAAAGTTTCCATATCGTGATCTGTGGCAGAATAATCTTCATATCTTGGCAACTTTCGAGCAGCAGACACTAGATACTAAAAATAACATCTTGAAAGGTATCTCTTAGTAACCTCCCTGGCAAACTTCTAACATGCTTTCTTTAAAAAAATTGCAAGTTTACTACCAATGTGGCATTTAGGCAATTGTAATTGGCTTGACAGATTACGATACGGAAATATTTCCACATAAATTTTAATGTTATAAAATAGAGCAGGATTCTGGGAAATTGCATATATACTAACTCAACTTTTGTAGTTTTATGTTTTGCCTTCTTTTTAGAGAGAATAATGGCATAGATACTTAGATGATTATTAGAATCCATAAAGTTTTTACAAATTATTTTTAAAATTTAGAGTGTCTCGTTAAGTGGATTTTTCTGTCTAGTGAACTGTCGCGACAACTACAATTACCAAGGAGCCAAATGAGAGATATTTCCGTGTTGTAATCTGTAGCGCAAACTACAACTGTCAAGGGACCAAACAGATTTTAAATTTGCAAACTTTTTTAAACAAAACAAGTAGAAGTTTGCCTGGAGGTGACTATGAGTTATACCCTACAAGTTGGTCCCCTACTAAGAGGTTTTCATTTTCTTTCCGACATTTAAAAGTAGTGCGAACTAGTAGAGTAAAAATTTGATACTTTAAAACTGCATTTTATTAAGTTTTTGACTCGCACCTTCTATGTGACGATTTTATCTACAGTTGAAAATGTCATAAACTTGTGAATACTGGCATATATGACAGGAATCACCTAGATTATAACGACCACTTCAGTTATATATTTAAAAAAAAGTTTATTAAAACATATTACCCAACTGTTACTTACTTTGTAAAAGAAGTTCTAAAATAATTCTGATCACTAGATAATAGTTTAAGTCACTTTAGACAAGCGTTTGATCGTTAAAAATTACAATTACAATGATTAGAGAAACATTTAAGAACTTAGATTAAATAACTCTGTTTATTCACATAATAAATAGTTCACTCATGAAAAGCAAAAACAATTATTTCATCCCGTCGGCGATGTCACGCATATTGCTCTGTCGTAATTATTTCAAAATAATAACATTATAGAAATTATTAATGCATAAAAATTAAAAACACATCAGTACATAAATTGGTAGAGCTATTCTGAAATAAAATGGTCAAAATATAATTATACAAGGTGTATTGCTTAAGATGTATTGCTGTGTTAATATTTGTTGATATATATTTTTTAGATTTTAACTATAGACTAAGAGAAGAAGAGATATGAAGACCATAATAAGTTTTTTAATTTACTAATTTTTCTTTTCACAGATGGCGCTGCATGAGTTTTGTAGGCTAAGCAGATATCATTTAATTAAGATGCATTCCAGAGAGTCCCGCAGTGGACTGATCGTTAAGACACGGTTCCCAGCAGATCACCGAAGTCAAGCATCACTGGCTACGGTCAGTGTGCGGGTGGGTGACCACTTGGATCAGTCTGCGTAGGGACCGAGGGTGTGCGGAATTGGTCCTCGTTAAACTGTGCTACCGTAAAGTGCTCGACTTCGCGCGCAGGTCATCGGACTACCGAAGCGGGGGTGCCATCCCCTCTGCAGAGGATCAAAATTGTGATGGCATGTCTTCGGATCATCCTCAGGGATGCTTCCCAAACAGTCCCCAATAGCCCATTGTGCAGCTCTAGTGCGACGTAAATTAACAACACCAACAATTCCAGACAAAAACGGAAGGAACATTCACCCTGCTTGCGATTCGTATATGCGATCGCAACACTCGAATGCGCCATCTGGGGAGAAAACTGGTTCCATGCCACCGGCCCTTCTCCCTTCCTTCTCTTTTCAGTTGTATAGGAATGTACTACGATATTTACCTAATATATTTCGTTTTTAATTAACAGAAGTATATCTTAAAACTTCCATAATGCTTTTTTTTTTGGAACTATGTCTAATACAGTTTTCAGTTCCATGTAGTTTCCCAACTTAAAAGATTTTAATCTATATGAAAAACAAAAACTAACGTACTTCCTTCTTCTATGACTCTCCACACGCTACGGGGGAAAGCAATAAGTTGTGCTAGAAACTAATTTATTTGATCGACTTCTTACATGCGACAATAGATTTGTGAGAAAAAAATTAAGGCTGTGAAATATATTATTAAATTAAATGGAAAAATGCTCGAATGTTAACTTTTATAAATTGAGAAATCAAATTCAATCCCAATTTTAAAGACATCCTATAGCTGGGAAGCTCGCTGTCCGTTATCAAAATCCATTCAAAAGCGTTAATTGGATTCAAATCATAATTGATTTATTTTCCAATTTAAATCTTTATCAATATAAAATTTAACCCCTGTTAGCAAACATTAACAGGATTTTCAATTAAGAATTTCCAATTTACAAGTTTAAAATTTTCCGGCAAGAAATCAAAAATTAATGAACTCCAATGTCTTCATTTCTTGTAGCTTTTACGGTAATCTGTACACCACTGAAATTTGTTGTTGTTGTAGTTGTTGTAGTTCATTTATGTCGCACTAGAGCTGCACAGTGGGCTATTGGCGACTGTCTGGGAAACATCCCTGAGGATGATCCGAAGACATGCCATCACAATTTTGATCCTCTGCAGAGGGGATGACACCCGCGCTTCGGAAGCCCAACGACCTGTACGCGAAGTCGAGCACTTTACGGTAGCACAGTTTAACGAAGACCAATACCGCATACTCTCGGTCCCTACTCAGACTGATCCAAGTGGTCACCTACCCGCACACTCACCAGAGCCAGTGATGCTTGACTTCGATGATCTGCTGGGAACCGTGTCTTAACGATCAGTCCACTGCGGGACCTGAGATTTGCGAAATGACCAAAAATCCTGAATTCTGAAGTTAGCGCTGAATTCTGATGTTAGTTAATGTATAAATGTCGAAAGACTCATATGCTGAAAGGAATGTCTTTTTCTTAATACATGACAAAAATATGAGATAAAAATAAATATGTATTCTTCTAAATCAAAATTATTTCATAACACTAGTATTTAATGCATAGTTACAAAAAAATTAAACATCTTTATGTATTTTATCCCATAATTACTGCTTTCGAAACATATTTTTAGAATTATTAAATATTACTTTTGTAACTGAATAAAACAATTCCAAATTAAATGAAGTCGGACAATTAGTCATAAATACTACTCTAGGTATCAGGGGCCCCCATCAGGGGGGGGAAGGTGGGCGCCCGATGCGCGCACTTAAAGCATGGGGGGAATTTTTACACTAAATAAAACGAATAGTTTGGGGCGGAATTTGGAGAGAGAATTTTTTTTAAGTGCATAAATAAAAGAACCATTGTCATATTAGGAGTAGAATGCAAGCAAAGTAGCACTATTTCGGACAAGCTAATGTGGAAGGGGGAAGTTAGCAATTTTTTTTCGGAGGGGATGAATGCACCCAAGAGCTTGGGGGGGGGATGGAGGCTACTGCTGATGAAAGGTTCTACAAACTATGTCGGACGTGTCCGCCTCGTGCATACTTAAAGAAGGCAAACCGTCGGAGGCGTATACCAGTGCCTTGTATTTTTGAAAAAGAAAAAGAAATGTCTCAAATTTAAAATTATAATTCATGTGAACTATTCGACTGAGTTTCGTATTTTATAATTTATGATTACTACTTTAAGATTATGTAAAAAATTGTTTTCCTTGCAATTCTATATTTTTTTATTATTATCAAACAAAATAATAAAATGCAACAAATAATTATTAATAATTATTTTGAATGTGGAAATATTTTTACATAAGGGAACTTAATAATTGTATGCAAAAAATTTTCGATTCGCTTCAAGGTATGGGAAAATACACAAAAATTAAAATTAATATCAGGAGGCCCAAACTTTTATCTGCTCTTCTGACTAAACTATTTTTTCCATATTGCGGTTTCCCCTTATATTTTGATGAATCTGATCCCATTAATTGCTCATTGGAGAGAAAGATTAGAATGGCATTAACAATTATATTACTTTCGGAAACGCTTATTTTGTTATTTTTTGATGTTGTTCGTTTTTTTTTTCGAGGTATATTTCCTTTTTATAAATATTTTTGCTTTTTTTTATGTAATAAATGTTTTTATGTAATAAATTTATCAGATCTTAGTCAGATCAGATCTTAGTCAGATTTATCAGATATTACTTAGATCATTTTTTTTTTCGGAAAGTGAAACAGAAATAATTTTCTCTCAAAATTTTGGGACAACAAACTCCCCAAATATTAAAGGGGTCCGGACCCTCCTCCCCTCAGGTTGCGATGCCCGTGGGACGAAACGTTGGAGAACTGGTGCAATGATCTCTTTTCGGCTGCTAACAGAAGATTGGTAATTTACCCGAATTGGTAATTTTGCTCAACCCTTTTTGCCTACACTGTGGAAAACTCTCGAACAGAGACAATCTTCGTCTCTGCAAGGCATTGCTTGTCTGCGACTCCGAAGTCACTCGATATTGGTGCCCTGAAAGAAATTTTCTCCTGATCCTTGTAACCATTGGTACTATTCAGCGACCAACCACAGAACATTAGAAATAATTCCACAGATTTTAACCCGTAAAAAGTTCTTCTTCGATAAAAGTTGGAGATCGGAATGGGCTACAGGTAGTGCAAAGCGGAACTTTCTAACTTCTATGACAAAACTTCTCATGCTTATATGCTTTAACCTTTAAGGTGTGGGTGGATAGTCATGGAAGAGGGAAGTACGTTAGTTTCTGCTTTGACTTTAAAATAGATGAAAATTTTTCAAGTAAAGAAGATATGGAACTTAAAACTATTAAACATAGCTCTTAAACAAAGCATCGTAGAAATTTTAGAAAACATTTTCGACAGTTAAATACGAAAAATATTATAGAAGGGGAAAATATCGTAATACATTCTTATACAACTAAACAGAGGAGGAGCATTGACATGGAACCGGATTTCTTCCCAGATGGCGTATTCGAACGTTGCGATCTCGAAAATCACACGTACTCTATGGATCCATTAGAAATAATTGCATTAGTAATTTATAATTGGACGCTAGTGTATAGTCTTCTCCCCTCTCAACTGAAGATAAGGTAGAAACTAGTTAAAAAAACGCATAAAAAGTCAGGAGGACCCATTTGAAATATAACTTAATATAAAATCTTTGTTAGTCTGATCATAGTCCAGCAGTGGACTGATCGTTAAGACACGGTTCTCAGCAGATCACCGAAGTCAAGCATCACTGGCTACGGTCAGTGTGCGAGTGGGTGACCACTTGGATCAGTCTGAGTAGGGACCGAGGGTGTGCGGTATTGATCCTCGTTAAACTGTGCTACCGTAAAGTGCTCGACTTCGCGCGCAGGTCGTCGGGCTACCGAAGTGGGGTGCCATCCCCTCCACAGAGGATCAGAATTGTGATGGCATATCTTCGGATCATCCTCCGGGATGTTTCCCAGACCGTCGCCAATAGCCATTGTGCAGCTCTAGTGCGACGTAAATTAACAACAACAACAATCAACTAGTATCAAGGGAAGGTCATCATATTTTGCATATTTGTCAATAGCTGACCACACTGTTAGATAAAAATCGACTTGCTTCAGAACTTGCGTACAGTTTCAATGGTAAACCGAGTGGTTCCTTTACGCAAAGTCATGATTCACTGGCTGTGGTCAGTAAGCGGGTGGGTGAAAACTTTGATCAGCCTGTGTAGCGACGGAGGGTGCGAGGTATCGTTCCTCGTTAAACTGTTCTACCGTAAAGTGCTCACTTCGAACGCAGAGGATCAAAACTGCGAATCTGCCTGTTTCTGTTCCTCTGAAAGCAGTAATTAATGTTATTTGGAAAAGGGTCCCGCAGTGGACTGATCGTCAAGACATGGTTCTCATCAGATCACCGAAGTCAAGCATCACTGGCTGCGGTCAGTGTGATTATTGATGTCAATGATGGTTCATTAATTTTGNATGGCATGTCTTCGGATCATCCTCAGGGATGTTTCCCAGACCGTCGCCAATAGCCCATTGTGCAGCTTTAGTGCGACGTAAATTAACAACAGCAACAACATATTTGGAAAAGAAATCGATATTACATCTTCATATCGTATCGAACGTCTCTACTTTCTTCTTCATCAAAAATTTGTAAATAAATAAATCGTGAACCTGTAAAGTTTGCTTTATGCGATTTTTTTTTCCATACATGACAAATATATGAGATTTATATAAATCTTATGATGATATGTACTGGTCTCTTTTTAAAAAAAATTACTAACTTGCCCAGAGGAAAATATTTTTCTTAAAGTTAGATTATTCTATACAGTGAAGCTAATTCATTTTTACTATTTATATATTTAAAGTAATTATCCTTCTATTCTCACTTTAATAAGTTTTTCATTGTTCATAATTTTTATGAACGCATTAATTTGATACATTTTCTTATTTTGCATTTTCTTTTCTTTCATAATTTAATCCGAAATTTGCTGATTTTTCTTGATATTAGAATCTTTGCAGTAAGATGAGCAATACAGAACTATGTTTTACCAAATTTTCATACAAATATCTGAGTGATCATTCTTGAAAATGAGTTGATAAGAATTTTAAATTGTTGATAAAAGACCATACTCATATATTTATGAAATCTTGAGTTTCATGTAAATCTTCAGGAGAATATGTTATTTAATTGTCTATAGAAAATTAACTTGAATCACCAGCACATTAAGGAGCTTGTTTATAGTTTTATTCATATATGTACTGCTTATGAGATAGTGTTGTCTGATACTGTTTAAAGGGGTTTTTCCATAGGGGTTCCAAATTAACTGAAATGTATAAAGGTTTTTATCTCAACTTAGGATTTGTAGTTGTCCTGATTTTCTTGATAAGAATAAATTTCCCTCATTTGTCATGATTTTTGGCCTTTTGTCCTGACATTCCTGATTTTAGGTCAGAATATCCCATTTTCTACGAATACAAATGCGGATTTTAAAATAATCAGTTTGAAGAATTGAACCATTTGAATATATATATATATGTATATATATATATATGTACCGCTCAAAAGTATCAGTACACCTAGAAACTTACAAAAAAATGGCAAAATTCAAAGTGTCATAACTTCTTTAAAAATGATCAAAAATGCTNATATATATATATATATATAAGATTTTGCAATTTGAATGAAGCTTTATTAAAACTTGTACTGCTAGATACGTTTGAAGTTTTATTTTTAATAAACATATCTCCATAAAATCTTGAAAGTATGGTAAAGAAAAGGTTCAAATTAAAAAAAAAGACCATATATTCTTTTTCTATAGAGCTTGATGCAAATGTTAATAATACATGTTATGTATGTTAATAATACATTATAAATATTGATAGCTATTCAAAATTGTAACCTAACCATTATTTATAAGCTCATAGTTCAGGTATATGGTCTGACCTTCAGAATTCAGCCTTTTAAAATTTTAATAATTCAATAATTTTATGAAAAACAAACTCAATTTTACCCTATCAAATTTTTATGGCAGTTGATTTATGAATCATATGCTTATTTATCATTTTCTGCAAATGCAGTAACAGATTTTGTAGGGTCTAGTTTTGTAGTTTCCCAATTATTAATTTCATTCATTCATCAGATTTTAAAAAATTATGTAGATTGAAACAATATCATAGAATTTTTGAATAGTGAATTAAGGGGTCATCCACTAAGTTTCTTTGGTACAAAAATATTAAGATGTGTTTTCATTTCCCACTTGAATAGTTCCTGAGAAATCAAATTTTAACTCTACAAATTTTGCAAGATTAAATTTCTCAGGAATTATTTGACCAATTTCTCTCAAATTTTATATTTTGCTATATAAAATTATATTCTTTTAAATAATGCAAAAAATTGTTACCTTACAATTCAAATTTTTTTTCTTAAGTAAAACAATAAAAAAGTAATAAATGATTATTAAAAATAATTGTTTTTGCATGGAAATATATTTTAATAAGCAAATTTTATAGTTGTGCAAAAAATATTTCAATTCACTTTAAAAGCTCTCAAGATATAGCAAAATACGCAAAATGTAAAATTTACGTTAAGGGTTTGAAATTTTGGACCACTCTTCGGACCAAATTATTTGGGACCATGCTTCCCAGATTGCAGCTATCTCTATCTTTTGATGGTAAGAAATCCAAATCTGTCAAGAAAAGGTATATTTATTCAGTGAAAGTACATTTTTGTGTCTGATTGCATAGATTTTATTTTATTTCATAACAATCCTTGAACAGCCTACCCAATTTTTGAGTTTACGACTACAAATGTTCTACTCCATAACCCTGTAATTTTGAACTCAATTCAGGAATTTCCTGGATCAAGTATTTCAAGAAATTTGCCTTCGTGGAGGACTTTTTGGGAGAACTGACCTGAATTTGCATTACATGGAGCGGAAAACCATGAAAACCTCCCACAGTTAGCTTGGCAAACGGGGACTCTAACCCATGATCCTTCTACCACTTAGGATATTTTACATCAGTCGGTGAGAGCCGGATGCGAAATTCATATCGACCAGTTATCGCTGAGATTCAAAACTCGGTTCACCTCATTGGGAGGCAAGCACTCTATCTCCTGAAATATCGTCTATACAAATTTAAAATCATATTTGAGGCAATAAATTAAAAAAAATACATTGTGTTGAAAATAGTTCTAAATTTCCCCCCTAAGTGGCGCTTGTGACAACCTGCTGTAGGAATACGGACAGAACGTCTACTAGTTTTCAGTTAATCCTCGTTGAGTAAGTTCATGCTAAAGTTAGTTGTGCAAAGAAGGTCTATTCTATGGAACAACAAATATTTCTTGTGTTAGAATTTCACTGCCTGAATCATAGCAGTGTGAAAACCCAGTAAAGTTTCCAACAAAAATTTAATATGACTGAAGCATTGGTGAGGAACACAATTAAAAGTTTGTTTGCAAACTTTAAATGGATGGGAAGTGTGAATCATGATCGTAAAGGAACCATAAGGCCATCACATTCATCAATCACTGACAATAATGCCCAGGCAGTCCAGCAGGCATTTGAAAAACAGGCTCAGTCGTTTGTCAGGAAAATTGCATCTGAGTGTGGACTACTAAAATCCTCAGTGCATAAAACCATGAAGATTTTATATTGGTATCCATTCTAGATTCTGGTTTGTCAACCTCTCAATATTTTCACCACCAATCAAAGAACCCTCTTTGCGAAAGATTTGCTTCAGTAAAGTGATCCATTTGGTTTTTTGACGAAACCCATTTTTATGTCAATAGCTTTGTGAATAAACAAAATATGTAATTTTGGGGAATGAAAAATACCCATATTTTTGTCTAGTTCTCATTACATTCATCAAAAGTCACTCTATCCTCAAAAGGAAGCATTGGGCCATTTTTCCCGTATCAAACAATAGCTGCAGCATGATGTCTTAATGTTCTGCATGATTTAATTGTCACTCACAATGCTTTGGTGAATTCGCATGATTCATTGTGGTTTATGCAAGAAGGTGCTGGACCACATCAAACCACTCACAATTTAATGGAGGAACATCCTGATGATCGTATCATTGCTAAACTTCATGAACCATACAGGAAAAAGCACAAACTGGCTTCCCCATTTGCCGGATTAGAATCCTTGCGATTTACTTCTGTGGGGATACTTAAAAGAAGAGGTGCACCAACAAAGGTCCCAAACTTTTGTGGACATTGAACATTATGTTTTTAATGCTTGCGAGTCCATTTTAGCCGAGTTATCATGCATATGTGCAAAGTTTGTTTTGAGACTACAGCATATTACTGTTGCAAAGGGGGACTGTATTAAAAGCATTGTTATTTAGTTTTTTAACCACCAGCATCATCCAGTGGTAAAATTTTGAACTATTTTTAACACCATAGATTTTTCAAAATTTATTTCTTTTCTAAAAATGCTGTAAGCAGCAAATTTTTCTCCTAAACTATTTACTGTACACCCTAAGTGTATTTATATATATATATGTATACATACTTGAAACTGCTCTTGCACTGATGGCATTTACTGTCAGTATTAGTGATTTCTGCTTTTATATCTAAATGCCACAAACAACCATGCCCCCCAAAAAAGTAGTAAACATGAAACTTATTATGTCAGATGAAGATAATATTCTAAGATCCCAAAAATAAAATTAGAAGTACATATATTCCACTGAAGGGAAACTCTATCTTTTAGATAAGCGTAAAAGTTAGATGTTGATGGTTCGAGTATGAGAATTATATATATACATATATGCCAAAATGAAAAACCACAAAGCTACAAATTAAATGTCTAAAAATTCAAAAAATATATTGAAGAAAAATAAAATCAAAATGATCAGTTTGAAATATAGACCAGTACTCAATTATGTTTCAAGGTGATCCAACCTTTAATGTTAAGGTAACCCTACCATGGCATAAAGCCAAGCTTTACTTTGCTTCGGAATGCAATCCTCTACTATATCAAGTCTCTGCCTATAAATCTAATCGAGATACCCTTATTCAAGAGAAATTTGGATAGAGATTTGCAATTATTTAAAATAGGCATTAATGCGATTAATTTGATATAAAATCATGTTTCTGTAGATACTTATAGAAATATTTGAATTCCAGTAAATTTTTGTTGCCGGGGAATAAGAATCCAATTGAAATTAGTTTTTACCAGAGTTATATCCAAAGGATTTTAACCTAGTCAAACATAATCAGTCTAACTTATCTCCAGACTTCTTTGATTTCTTCATTACTTTCAACTCATCTAAAAGTCAAATTGATGGTTTAAATAAAAGAAATAACTTTCCATTTCCAGTCAACAAATTAATTTCCTGGAATTCTAATATTTCAATAAGTATCTACAGAAATGTAATTTTATCTCAAATTAATTACATTACCTAAGTTTATTTGCAATCATGAAATACTTGTTTTAAATAATTGTAAATTTCTATGTAAATTTTTCTTGAATAATGGTATCCCAATTGGATTTGCAGACAGATACTTGATTAGCAGAGGATTGCCTTCCAAGGCAAAGTAATGTTTAGCTTTATGCATGCTATGGTAGGATCACCCTCGTGTTGATGATTCGATTGAATTACTATACAACATTATTGAGTGCTTTTTTTCAATCTTTAGATATTTAATTCTTAGATTTGTGGTTTACCATACTGGTCTATAAACTTATCTCATACTCAATCCTGGGACATTTGACTCTCATCCAAAAGATTGAGTTTCCCTTCAGTCTAAGATATGTGCATTCATTCCGATTTTCAAAATCTTAGCATATTTTCTTCATCTGATTTGCTTTAGTTTCTTGCTTATTACTCTTTTGCGGGACAGTCGGGTATGGTTATTTGTGACATTTTGCACTGACCACAGAAACGGTTCCTGTACTACTAACGACATGTTAATACCCCCCTGATGCTGTCATATTTGTCAGTGCCTTCCATTTTTATCGTTTATTTTGAGGATTTTTTCTATTGTGTAGTGTTTTGATGCTGATTGGAATTATTCCTGCTTTCCTGTTATTGATTGGATTCATGTCGGGTAATTTATTTTGATTTACATTTTCTTCAAACATTTTTTTCAAGTTATAACATATTCTCAATTTTTAATAGTTTCACCTTGAATATTTAATGTAATATGGAACAATTCATCTGAATATATATATATATATATTAAATCATGGCTTAAAATAGGATTCTGTTATTAATTTTAAGATGGAGAAATTATTTTTTCACAGAGCCATATAAAGTCCTTATTCTAAGTGAAAGATTATTTTCTGAAGTCCATAGAATATTTTTTTTTTAGTTATACTTTAAATTAGGTAATTCTTTTTTGCATTTCTAATACATTCTTTTTATTAATTCATTTTTGTCATGCTTTGTTAAATGTGGTATAAAATGTAAATGTATATGCTCAAATCTGCTAAAAAATGTAATTTTATAAGCATTGTGCTACTCCGAATATAAAAATTATTTGTTTTAATCAGCTTCAAAAACCAAATTTACTTGCTCCAAAATGGTTAAGGTGCTGTTTCTTCCCTGGATTATTGAAACCCTATTTCAAAATTAATTGATAAAAGAAGGCTTAATTCAATTACAAGTTGTAATTAAATTTTGATATAAAGGAATACTTAGTAATTGATAGTGATTATTTTTTGTTGCTACAGGTCCATAAAATTTTTTCTTTATCCCAAACTATTATGAGTTGTTCAGTACTTCATTAATACAATTATACTGGAAACTGTAGAACTTTGTGTTCTAAATAAAGTAATTCTGAAATTAAAAGTAATATATTTTATTATTTTTTTATGATAATATTTGCCTTTATTATACTTAAATTTAATAGTTGAAATACTACATGGCCTGCAAACTTAATGTATCTAGATAAAATATATGTGTTTTTTTGAAACTCAGAAAATTCGCTTTTATGAAATGACAACTGAGATATTTAAAATATGCTAACTTAGAACCACTATACTTAAGATGTTAGAATTAGCAAAAGGCGAGGGATTTCAGATAGGAAATAAATTTTCGAATGCTTTATTTGCTATGCTAAAATCGAGGACAAAGTGTTTAATAATATAAGAATCTGACTAATGCTTATGCATGCGGATATTTGAAGAAATTAATACGAATATTTAAGGGGGGATGTTTATTTTGAATTATTGTTTGTGTGGTTAGTTAATTGAAATAAATAGTTCATATCTTTCTCCCGAATTTATTATTTGTTTAAATTTTATATGCTACAGATAAAATATATGTATTAATATTCTATTTTGATGTTTTAGCTGGGGTGTTTGCATTCTAAATTAGGGGTTAATGCTGTACCCCAATCTGGAAGTGAAACATTACGAGCAAATGAAAAGAAACCAAAAAGCAGAACAATGGATGGTCAAGAATCTTTACTCAATGTTCCAATGTCAGCTTCAGCCACAAGCTCTGCGGGTTTGTTTAACATTTTTAATATATATTCAATTAATATTATCTACGTCTGTTATCTTTGTATTATAATTTCTTTGCTGATATGTGTTAAATATGAACAAGAAGACAACTTTTAATACGTTTTATTTTTTTAATTTTAAAATTTTTTGGGAGTTGGTTGTTTAATAAAAAATGGTGTAGATTTAGAAGAATTAATTACTGTTGTTTATTTTTAAAGTTATCTATATACATATGAGAGAGGTTAAATTTTTTTACCAAATGGACGATATGCGAAAATCTAGACTAAGCTGTAGTCAACTTTGTAACAGTTTATCTAATTTTTCTTAATGCTTAGTAAAAATGTTATATGTGTATGTAAATTATACCTACAAAAATTCAGCAGTTTTATTTTAAAACTTTTTTGCTTTCTACAGAAAACTTTTGTGACTAAATTTATAAATATAGCACTGTAAAGAATGTGCTTCAACTCTCAATATTTATTGAAGATTTTTTCGTGACTTTTTTAAAAGTCCAATAAATTTATTTTCTTCTTCTGTCACTCTGATATCAGTTAAAATTTTAGAGTGTCGATATCATATAAAATTTTTCCATCCAGTGCAGAGCCTTTCCAACTTCTTTTTCTGTTTTATTTTTTGGAATTTTACTAACAAATGAATAGAAAATACTAATGTAATGGACATTACTATTCAATTTTACTCTTAGGGTATTGTTTTACCCTTTTCTAAACAGAATTGGTTTAATTTTAATACTGTTTTCGCTAATTTTGTTATACATTTATAGACTGATGTTAAAACTTTTAACATTTTTAAGTGCTGTGGATGTATTTAGTTACAGAACTGCAATGGAATGGTCTGAACAGCAAATCTCAACCTTTGCATTAGTGCTTGTGTAAGAGAGAGAGAGAGAGAGAGGGGGGGGGGGCATTTTCATGTTTTAAAGGGCACTGGCAGGAAATGGGGCAGTAGGTGGCAATCAAATATAATGGGAATTGGAACATAAGATAGTCTGAATTTTATATGTTTGCTTTGTTTAACAATTTTTCAGTTTCAATCAACAAACATATATGCAAAGTTATTTTTCTTGAAATTATTATGATAAAATAAGGCCTTAATCCAATTTTTTAAAATAAAAAAGATATTTCAAATTTATATTTGCTTAAAAGATACATATTAAAAAAGGTGATGATATACAATTTATCCATTATAATTTTCATTTTTGTAGGAATAATAGTGTAATATGTAAGCACTTTTAAAGGCTAATAAGACATATAGAAAAACTTGACTAAGGTTTGTAAATTCTTAAGTGGTGTATCTAACATAAATCTGTACTGGTGCTTTAACATACTCAAAAATTTTAACTTTGTAAAATAATTTAATACTTTATTCCATCAGCTATAAGATTTCGAAAAATGCCAAAAAGTTTTTTGGAAAATTTAAGATGATGCTCCCCTTGAACATTTTTCTAGTTTCTGTGAAATACAGTATTGTTAATTTTCATTTTATTCATTCTCTACCTTTAATAATTTTAGACCTTTACCAATTTGCGAAGCTTAATACAATTGGTAAAGCAGTAGATCATTTGCTTTGTGTGGTATGTTAGGAGGCCAAACATTTAAAATAGAACAAAGTAAATGTTCATCTATTGTGAAAAATATCCCATAATATTTTTGGCTAATTATATTATGGGATGGAAAAAATATATTGCCAGTTGGTGAGTGTCTTGTCTATTCTTGCTAGTCCTTTTTTGTCTGTTTTTTCTTCTTTTTTATTGTTGGTAGTTTTATTTTTACTAATTTGCATCAATATTCACCTGGTGCAAGTAATTTTAAAACATAACTTTTAAAATAAATCATATTTTAAATTTAATAAGTTTATCCCATCATAAACAATTTATTCAGTCATCAGATACATCAGCAGAGCTATCCATTATATGCATGTTCCATTACTGTATTATTGAAAGCTTCTTTTTGGGATTGGTTCAATTACTAAATGTTAGTGCCATTAAACTCTTCATTTAATTAAATTAAACATATTTTAGTTATTAGGCTTATACTGATTGGTCTGTTACACTTTGTAATAGGTAGAAATAAGGTAGCACTGAAACCAGGGAGATCACTAATGGATTGGATAAGATTTGCTAATTCATCTAAAGATTTATCTTCTACTGGAGGTAAAATTCTTGAAGTCTCACCTCGTGAACTTGCAAAGCATAATTCTTCAAATGATGCTTGGATTGCTATCAGAGGTACAGTAATTTTAAATATGTTTTATAATGTATTCATAATATCAAGCCCTTTTTCAAAAAAATGTTTTTGACTTTACTCTTACTTGTGAGTTTTTCAAAAGTTTTCCAAATCTTTTTATACTTGATTTCAATTAAAAAAATTAAAACTTTTTCTGTAGGAAAAGTTTATAATGTCACTCATTATCTCGAATATCATCCTGGTGGTGAAGATGAACTTATGAGAGGAGTTGGAAAAGATGCAACTGACCTGTTTAACCAGGTGATTAAATATCTATTTGTTTTTTTTTCTTCCAAATGTGGTTATGTTTAAATTTTGCTCTTAAATTGTCCAAAAGTTTTAGGTGAAGTAGAGAATTAGTAGAACTTTTTATGTGATGATAGCAAACTTTTTGAATATTATAAATAATGTGAAAAATTATTTACTAACATTTTATTTTATGTAAAATAATTTCCAATATCTGTGTTATTTAATTTGATACTTGTTTTTTAATGTTCTTTTTTTCTGAATATCTGCGTTACTAACTCTTCACATCAAATAAATAATGAAAAAAGGAGACAAACTTGTCTTCATTCATGAAGCAGACAGTTTATCCTTTGTCAAAAGAATTTATCCTTTGCTTTTTTTTCTTTTCTTTTAATATTTTATTAGTGACATTTTTTTACTATATATTAAATATTATTTTATTGATTGTTATGCAACTAATAACAAAACATTATCATATAAATATTTTATTATTACTACTTCTTTGTTACTTTATTAAATAACATATGTTTTGATCTTTGTTTACCTAAAAGATCCATTATCCAGAAAAATCTATTTTCTGGACTTGCCAAAGTCCTTACGATTCTGAATAGGGGACTTTTCACTGTATCTGTGCCAGGGTTGGGTTTTTGACGTCAAAAAGTGGTTTTTGACATGACAAGGGTATAATACTGGTTTAAACCGTCAAAAACGTCAAAAACTGAAGTTTGCCAAGAAAATATATAAACTTCAAAACTACCAACAGTTGCCATGCATTATATTGAAATTTAATTATACTATAGGTAATCAGCAGGTTTTAAAATATTTTTTAATTAAAATTAAGGTAAAATAACAGATTTAAAATCTCAGAAATTTATATTCAAATGCATGTG